TATATATATATATATATATATATATATATATATATATATATATATGAGGAAAAGTCAATATTTTTGTAATAATATTGAATTCGAACTGATTTTAACATCGATTATATTGGAATGTGAAAAAAATGTTGTTGAAATGATCAAAAGATATTTCTTTGCAATTCTATGTAGTTTAAGTCGCATATAGAATCATTTAAGCTTGACGTGATTCAAATCTTAAATAAGTGTTCTTGAGATATTTGATCAACAAAATCATTCATGCTAGACATGATTAATCATCTTACATGTGGAGTGATTCGAATCTCAAACAACTCTTGCCTTAAGCTATTCGATCAACAAGGTAATCTGAATCCTTCCCTGTATTAATTCATTTTCAAGTATGAGAGTTTTTCATTTGGTACTAACATGACTTAGTACGTGATTTTTTTTTCAGTTTGGGATTGGTCAAGTTTGACTCAATAAAAAAAAAGTCAACTATACCAAAATTAAGTTTTCAACAATTTAACCAAATAAATTGAAAAACAGTTGAGCTGGTCCAGTTGACCCAACAAAAAAATCAACCCATCCCAAAAAAACCCAAACTGAAAAAACAGACAAAAAAAAAAAAATCAACTCATCAACGGAACAAAATTTTCAATTTTCAATTTTTTTCTATTTATTACATTTTCATTTCTTTCCAAAAATATATGTTAAAATTAATATTTTATTGATATTTGTTCATAAAAATATTTTAAAAATAGAGATCTCCATGTTGATATAATTAGGAAATAAATTGTTTTGACAGTTAATTGGAAAGAGAGTATGGGCACATGGATTCAACTAAAATTGTACAATTATTATCTTATTGCTTGCACGTCCTCCTGTTTAATATATATATATATATATATATATATATACATTTTTTTTAATTTAATGGTCAAAAAAATAATTTTAAAAAATCACGTACTAAGTCATGGAATAAACATTAAAAAAAATAATATAATAATATCAAATAATATCAACTAATATCACGTCACATGCGGAATACAAATAGTATGCACCGCTGCACTACTAGAAAAAAATTTCAGATAAAATTTTAGGTGATATGTTATGTCAAAGTTCGAGGGGTAGGATGGTCATTTGCGAGGAAGGCATATTGTCTCTATTCCCTCTCGAGAATTTGTTGGTGGGTTTGAAGATTCAGTATCGAAAATTTTTTTACAGCTCTAGGTTGAATGACTTTTCTAGTGTCACTCACTTTGGTTAGCCATGATCGAGACGAACTCTCACCTAGTTCGACTGCAACTCATTTGGAAGCTCCCAGTCTTTCCTCTCACGAAGCAGTAAACAAGAAAACAAGTCATTTGCGTCCGTATTAATTTACTATTTTATGATATGAACCAAGAGACATCAATCATACAATATGCTTCAATGAAGATGTGAAGAAAAGGTTGTCAAAATTATCAAAAGATGTTTCAATTCATGCTACATTGAAGAAGAATAAAGTTTTATTGTTGTAAATTTTGGGTGGGTTATAATTTAGAGTTATTGTGTTTTAAGACTTTTTATTTAATTTCGGTTACATTTACATAATGGCTAATTATGGCCATAAAGTGTGAATGTTACAACTTTTGGAATGTCTTTAATAGTTTCATTTTGAGGCTATATAAAGCCATCTATGTTGTATTTGTAATGAGACTTAGAAGATATATCAAAAGAAGCATTTGTGCTTTTCTTTAGCCAATGGCTAAGTTTCTTTGCAACTCTATGTAGTTTAGGTTGCATGTAGAATCATTCAAGCTCGACATGATCAATCTTGCTTGTGGAGTGATTCGAATCTCAAACAAGTGTTCTTGTCTTGAGATATTTGATCAACAAGAATCATTGAAGCTAGACATGATCGATCTTGCTTCTGGAGTGATTCGAATCTCAAACAAAGTGTTCTTGGCTTGAGATATTCGATCAACAAGGTAATCCGAATCTTATTCCCCTTGTATTGATTCTTTATCTTATCATTTTATGTCACCTTTATTTTGTCTTACGTAATTATTAATATTTATTAGTTTCATTAATATATTATTTTAACGCTATTTAAGACAAAGGTCAAAAATTTAATTATATATATATATATATATATTAACCGATTAAATTATATTTAAATGGATGTGGTCTCGGTTCATTCATGTGCTCCTCCTTTACTGGGGTGTTACATGCCCACTAGCTTTCATCTTGGTTTGTCATCGAACCACATCTTACTAGAAGAGGTATCACTGTATTACTATTTATAATGCTCCGTGTCCAAGATTCGAATTAGGATTCAGAATTCAGATTGAGCACCTGATGCCCCGACATTCTCCTACGACATGGTCACATTACTTATTTCTCGTTTCTAAGAGTGAAACGATGTTTTACATACTCCTTGTAAGGAAGGAAGAACGAGGGACAGAAAAGGCTTCTCCACCTATAAGCCATCCCGTGAATATAACCGAAGTCAAAAAGTCAAAAAATTGACTTTTTGAGAGAAAGTAGATTACTTTTTGTTTGAATTTGGTTTGAAAACGTGTCCATCTCACTCTTGAGGTAAGAATCAGATAAGAATACCGACAAGTCGGTTTAATATTCAAAATTATTTAATTAAAAATTGGTTTAATAATTCATTTTTATTGCACAGACTTTTTGCCGACATGTAGTGTGTCTCCCAAGAAATCAAAATATTAAGATTTGAGATTTACAAGAATACCCTCGGAATTTACATATTTATATTTATTAAATTTTTTAAAAAATTAAATATAAATATAAATTTATATCTAATACATTTACGTTCCTGAGTCTAAATATCTTTAAAATTTATATATTAAATTGATGGCTCCTTTTCTTTTTTATGAATCCGACAAATTAAAATCCTTTCTTCGCTCGAGTGATTGCTTGAGTTAAACCTAATTTATTCGTTTTGGGTCCTAACTTTCAATCCTATGATGGTCTTTCGGGTCTTCATACAATGGATCATATAGGTCTTTCTTGTGTACTTCCCTTGAGCCTCGTATACACAATACGTTTACCCCGCTCATCGGTGTGTGGAGTCCATAAATAACTTAGCATGGACACAAGAGAGTTCGTGCCTCAATGAAAACTCGGATAGATAGATGTGTCGGATGTCCCACTCATCTTTAACCGTTTATTTTAAAAATACTTTTCAACTTTAAAAGTCTCGTAAATATCCTTTGACTCTAAAAAAAAAAAATTAAAAAATATTTTAAAAAATTTAAAAAATTACATTAATACCCTTTAATTTCGTATAAAGAAATTAAAAAAAATGAGTAATATGAGTATAGGGACGAAACTGTGTATCCACACTTCATAGATTATCTACAAACATATTAACGTTACTTTGAAAAGTTCATGAGTATTTTTTTAAACATGGTACTGACGATAAATGTATTTTTTTTATTTCTTTTAAAACCGTTTAAAAGTATTTTTTGAATATATATATATATATATATATATATATATATATAGTTTAAGAATATTATTTTGTTAATTTAGTTTGTAAATAATATATTATAAATTTATGGGGTTGGCTGCTATGAACACTTTGGAATTAATTTGAATAAAATAAAATTTATTTTGATGTTCAATTCCTACTCCATCATAGGTCCCAACATACTAAATTAAATGTCCCAAAACAATGAATTCAACCATCATCTTTATCTTTTTCTTTTTCTTTTTTTAATTTTTAATTTTATAAATAAATAATATTCTATTTTCATGCTGGTCGGGTTAAAATTTTTAATCTATGAACCAATTCAACGACCCAATTCAAAGCCAAAATAAAATATTTAACTCAACTCAAGTATGTCAAATTATCGAGTCAAATGAACACTGTTATTAATACATAGTTAAATTATATATATATATATATATAGAGGAAATGATTATAAAATAATGTTTCAACTTTTTGAATCAAATTGAACGGTGAGGATCGAATGCTCAAAAGTTTAGTATAATTT